AAAATATTGCCGTTCTTCAAGAAATGTCTGAATAATTGTCACTGCAGTCACATGACAAAGCATTAGAATTCGCCTTAGAGTAGTCAAGTTCCTAAGTGGGAGAAGAAGGAACATGGAATAGGAAAATGTAACCGCCTTTTTTTCAGGTATTTTGAGATCCAAAATAATGGCGGTATAGCTAATTCAATGCTTTACCTGTCGTTTGGTGTACAAACACCTGCTAAAAACTGGCTTCACTTTAGTTTCATAGCAAAATCGCGTGTTCCTACTCCTTATGTCTGTAGGAGTGCGCTTTATCTGCTCTAAGGAATTCGCCTAAAAAATTGGTTCTTCTACTCTACAAAAACCAAGACAAACAAATACAGTAACTAAATGACCTGCGGATAAAACTAGCAACAACTACAAACAAACCATCCTCGGAGATTCCTCCAACCGAACGCGCTTTTTATCACCACTTTTTAAGGTCAAAATGGATTTATAGTTATTGCTGTATCAAGGGAATTATGAGGGTGGTTGATACCCCAGGGCAAAGTTTGTGGGCCCGAGGGACAGCAATTGCCCGTGGATATTAACACCTGATAATTTCCGTGGTGAATAGATAATTTTATTTCCTACTGAATTTATTGTATTTTGTTTATTTTTATAAAGGAATAAACCATAAACCAAAATTTCAATTTTTTCTCAAAGTTGTACCATCCAAGGTAAAAGCGGGAGTTATGAAATAATTAACCACCGCGCGAGAGTTAAGACCCTATTAATGATTATTGTAACCAAGATATATATGGTTAATAATAGTTCAGTAGGATATAACACAATTCATTTCCTATAATTAGTAGCTATATTCTATAATTTCCTGCAGGTGTATTATGTTCAACTTAAACATGGTACAGTAGCAATAAGCCCACACCACTTATAAATGCAGACGGTTCAGTATGGAATTTATCTGACGAGGTTTGAACTCCAATATTTTCCAATGACAAGCCAATTCCTAATTTTGTTTGACAATCAATATACAGGGCTCTCATTTCAAAACTTGCCACCCACCTTATTTGCGTGAAGAGGCATATTCGTGGAAATCGCCAAAACACCTCAACAGTCAACAAATTGATTGGTGGCGGGGCTGTAATAAAATTGTAGGTAAAGCAGGTGTGTTTAAAAATGAATAGGCATTTCTGAACAACACTGAGGTCAAATTCAAAAAATGAAACGGCAAATTCTACAGATTCAACAGCCCTTCAAATTGATCTATCAGTCGACCCCCTGTCTCATTTAGAAATTTTGAGGTGGTGTGGTAGGGTGTGGTAGCGTAGCCCTGGAGGTTAGGGGGTTGAAAGAAGGGATTCCAGTTTCACGTGAAAAACCTCCCCCCCCCCCCCCCCAATAAATTTGTTGACGTGTTTCGGCGTTTTGCACGAATATGCCTCTTTACGCAGATAACGTGGATGGCAAGTTTTGAAATGAAAGCCCTGTATATTTATTCCTCAGATAAAAATGGTGGAAATCGAAAATGTGCTTGCCTGCAAGAAGGTCTAAAATGTTGTAACGAGTGTAAATGTCGTTTTTGTAATAACACTATTAAAGATTTTGAAGAAGAGGAAAATGATGAACAGGAATGTTTTTAATGTCGAAAGTTAGGGCCACATTTTGTTGAAATCTAAATATATTTTAAAGGAATTATAGGTATTATATCCATATTTCCGCTTCTATTTAATTAAATTAAAAATATATGATACCCTACTAAGTGGTCATAAGGTCTAATGAGTATTATACTCTCCTATCTCTGAGTAAATGCGGTATAATACTGTCTCGCGATGGGTTTCGCTCGCGTTAGATTATTTTAGCGCACAAATAAAAAATCGCTGTGGCCAAACGATATATATTGGGTAATAACTAATAATTTCAAAAACTTTTGTCATGTTTTGGCATCATTTGCTTCGCTGTATGTATATAAAAATTTTCAAAAATAAAAAAGTTTGTCGATTGGTGAAAATTGTAAGACCTGAAATTGTAATTCCTGGACTTTCCGATTTTTAAAAAAATAAAGGGGAAAACTTCGTGAGGAACGAAGGCACTATTAAAAGCGCCTAAGTATGTACTTTAATTTAAAAAAAAAATTACTTCGATAACTTGATCGGTTTTGAAGATATGACGGTAGAAACAAAGAAAAACACATTTTATTAAAAATATATTTTTTTTACTTTTTTTGTCATAAAAAAGTCCGAGACCACGGGAAAATGTCTGCACTTTAGATTTCGTATGCCCAGTGACATGCTTAACAAAACCTACTAGGTTTGATTTGGTTCTACGCCGAAAAAAAAAAACGACGAGATACGGCTTCCAGAACGCTCCTCTAGTACCTGTATTTTGTATTTGAAGACTCACAATGTGTATCCCTATATTATGGTCCCCTAAAATTATGATAATTGAATTTAAAATGGTGAAATTAAGTGTTAGACGTAGTTTGAATGATGTTTTATCTATTTACAATATTGTTAATAGCTTGAAGTAAAAAAAAAATTCCCTAATTAACAATATAATGTTTCTAGTTCCTGAGATTATTCAAAGAATAATGGATTAGAAACTTCAAATAGTTCTCCCATAAATAGAATGATCCATGAGTGTAATATTTTTATTCAAAAATGTGATATAGACCTCTTCAGTACTAGAGTAGGGCAAATTAGATGTGTGGTTTCAAATAATGATATATTCTAGTCACCTGTCTTTTTTGTTTTTATTATCTTACTGTGAGAGTATACATAAATGAATAAATAAATAAATTATTATTATCAGTATCATGTCGCTTAGTAACTAAGTAACAGAGAACAAACAGAATTAGCTGATATTTCTGCCAAAATTGACATTTTCCAATTACATTTACATAATTAAATTTTCTATTAAAATGAACCACACGGAACAAGAAAAATTTGATATACAGTTCTACTCAAAGTAAAGGATACAGTAGGGTATACAGAAACTATCAAATACCCACTGAAAACATTTTTGTAAATCCATTCAATCAATGAAAAAACTCAAGAAATTTACAGATTAAAAAAGCTAATCCTAATGTGAATTAAAATGAAGATCTTAATCTCTTTTTATGTTACCAGGATAAAATTTTTCTTTCAAAGGAGATCACAGGACTACACCTTAATTATAATTTATTTGTAAACAAATCCCACGCATTGCATTTCCACTGCTAGAAAAATTAGATAGATATTTTTTTCTTATTTTCACAACTGATAACTACATTAGGGGAACGGACAAAATTTACACTAAGTTTGACATCAATTTTCTCTTGGACCCTCTGTTCGATTTCGATCAATGTTTCCCAGATTGTAGCTTGACTCTTCAGGAGTAAATCTGACGTATTACCGTTATTGAATGATTCGTCGGAAAGAAAGTCAGTAATTTCCAGAGTTTCTTGAGACACCCTATGTAGTGAACCACTGGAAATCCAGAACAGTTTTCAACATTAAATTGTAGTTTGATCTTCTCCGAACATTTTCATTTTCTTCGAAATTTTTTTTCGAAAAAAAGGTGGATATTGTCCCTAAATTTCTCTACGTCCACATACGAATTGGATATGAAAATGTGTCGTTTACCAACTTCAAGTCGTGTGTGTGTGAATGTTTCCTTTAAGTTAAATATTGCTCGCAGGTTTACCTCTTGCCGATCAATTTAATGTGAAAATAATGCTCACCAATATACAGAGGGATCAGAAAGTCCCTTTCATGATTTCCATTTGGTGGAATGTTATTTATCTAAACTAAACTCTCTAAACTCTCCCTTCACACTTACCCAAGGCTTAGAACTTTTTCAACTTACCCCTCAACAGACCTTGCCACATCGGTAGGATATTGACGAATTTATTATTATTTTTTCAAGTGAAATCACAAATTTTCACCTTTACAGTAACTGAAAAAAAGAACCAAGTTGAAGTTTTTTTTTATTTTTAGACTTGGGAACCAATGGCAAAAGAAATCACAATAACAATAACTTAACGAACAATAACAATTCAAAACAGCGGACCAGGAAAAATGAATCTTTCAATACGCATGTGGCCTCCACGCGCCCTTATGACAGCAGTCATTTGTCTCCTCATGCTTCTGATGACATCATCAATCATCTCTTGGGGCAGATTGTTCCAGATCTAAACCAGAGCAGCTGCTGCTTGTTCGCGATTTTGAACTGCAGGAATTCTGGATCTTAATCGTCTTCTCAACATGTCCCAGACATGTTCGATCGGCTTAAGTTCTGGGAAACATGCAGGCGAATCTATTGCTCTTATTCCGACGGTATTCAAGATGTTGGAGACGCGGCGCGCCACGTGAGGGCGATCATTGTCGTGCATTAGCAAAAAGTTTTCTCCGATATTGGGGGCGAATGGTACGACATGCTGTTGCAGAACATCTCGCATGTATCCATCTGTATTTAAAGCACCATTAACAACCACCAATTCCGTTCGTGCCCCTAAACATATCCCACCCCAGACCATTACTGAACCTCCACAATAGGAGACAATAGCAGTGAAATTAAATTGTTTATTTTGTTCTCGCGGTGGCGATATAATCTTTCCCTGTCATCGATCGAATTAGTGCAAAAGCGGCTCTCATCTATAAAAATAACGTTGGTCCAATGGTCATATTTCCAATTTTCATGCTCCCTACCGAAACATAGTTTTGCTACTCAATGACGTTGCTGGAATTTTGGAGTTTTCTTTATTCAAATCAATTTCTTTGAGCCTTCTGCCGATGGTTCGATGACTTGTCCTCCTTTCACGTACTTCTTCCAGTTTGTTTTTTATTTATGGTACTGTTCTACGCCTGTTCCGGAATATCTATGTAGTATGATTGATAATTCAGTCAGACAGTTGTCAACATTTTAGTCAAATAAATGTAAGTTGTACTGAACAACTTAATATAATAAAAGTGTTTTAATAAAAACGTTAAATATAAAACATGGCGTAGTCATAAAGAAACGTGATCTGAAGCTCTTGCGAAATGGATTCGAAACCCCCAAACTTTAAAGCAGGTGAAACCAATTCAGCTAACATCTGGCCAAAGTTTAGGCAGTCTTTTGAAGTGTTTTTAGCCACTGCAGACCTGCAGAATGCTGATGAAAAACGAAATTGTTATCTGTTATTGCACTGCATGGGTCAGGAAGACCTAGACATTTTCAACACACTGGAATCCAAATCAAATGAAGTGGACAAAATTGATGTTCTTATTGTTAAATTTAATGACTATTTTATGCCCAAAATTAACGTAACTTACGAAAGGCACAATTTTTTTATGAGAAATCAAAAAACCGGAGAAAATTTCGAGAATGACGTGACCAAGCTAAAATCTCTATTCAACTCATGTGATTTTGGTAAATTAAAAAAGTCACTGATAAGAGATCGCTTGATTTGTGGGATTGAGCATTCCAAATTGAGAGAAAAACTTCTGACAGAACCTAATTTAACTCTGAGTAAGTGCATTGACTTGTGTCGAGCTGTGCTCGTTACGGAGAGTCAAGTGAAAGAAATAGCAACGGAGTCACTTGCTATAAACAAAGTTGGTCAGAAAAGGCTGGGTTCGGTGCACAACACACAGAATCAAGAAACCATAGAGAAGGAAAAAACAATAAAAGCATGTACAAGATGTGGATATACACACAAGGTGAATAAATGCCCACCATACAATGAAACGTGCAGAAATTGTAACAAAATAAATTATTTTGCTAAAATGTGCAAGCTAAAGCAAGTAAAGGAAATCAGCACTCAAGAAATTACCAATAATGAAGACTCAGATGAAGAAACAACAATTTTTATTGGTTTAGTAAATGGGGCCAGCAGAGTAGTTGAAGAGTGGACTGAAATAGTTCAAGTCAGCAAAGCACCCAAGGTATATATTAAATTTAAATTAGATACAGGGGCCCAAGCTAGCATAATTCCCAAAGCTATATTTGAACTAACTCCTAGAACCAAATTACTTAAATGAAATAATAAATTACAATGGAACTAGCATTGGAAATTTGGGCAAATGTTCTCTGGATTGCATTGTCTCAAATAAACGAATGGCCAACTTAGACTTTCTTGTTGTAGATACTATAAATAGTCCACCAATTTTAGGATTGGAACATTGTAAAAAGTTTGGGTTAATCAAAAGAATTAATTATGTGTGTTTAAATGATGTTTTGTCACAATATCAGGATCTATTCACAGGTATTGGTTGCCTAAAACAAGAGCATAACATTATTTTGAAAGAAAACGCTACACCAGTTGCATTCAATGCTCGTAAAATTCCACTATCTATTAAAGAGGAAGTACGAGTTGAATTAAACAGGCTAGAGTCTACAGAATGGATTCATCCATTGGTTACTGTCAGAAAGCCAAATGGCATAATTAGGTTGTGCCTAGATCCTAAAAATTTAAATTTAAATCAAGCAGTGCTGAATAGAGCTAGAAGTGAGGGTGTAAAATTTAACAAAGCTAAATTTGAATTTAATGTCAACGAAATAAAATTTGTAGGGCATTTAATAAGTAGTAAGGGCGTAAAAGTTGATGAAGACAAAATTAAAAGCATAATAAGAATGACTCCGCCTCAGAATAGAAAGGAATTTGAACAGATTTTGGGCATGATTACTTACGTCGTACCAAGTTTATCAGAACTAACAAACGAATTGAGAAAACTGCTGAACAAAAATACTGTTTTCATTTGGGAAGATAATCATACTCAAGCTCTGAATAAATTAAAACAGATATTATCCTCTACTCCAGTACTACAGTATAACAATGTAAATAAGCCAATTATGTTGTCAGTGGACGCCTCAAAAATGGTTTCGGTGCCGTTTTGCTGCAAGATAACTTGCAAGAATTGTGCCCAAATTGAGAGAAAGAACTTCTCGCAGTGCTTTTTGGTTGTACTCGTTTTCATCAGTACATCTATGGAACAAAAGTTATTGTAGAAAGGGACCACAAACCACTCATGCCAATTTATAAAAAACCTTTAGTAAACACACCTTTGAGATTGCAGAGGATGTTAACTAAGTTACAGTTGTATGACATAAAAATCGAATTCAAACCAGGTTCACAGTTGTTTATTGCTGACTGTTTAAGTCGTAACTATTTAAACGAAATAACTGAAAATGATGAATTTATTTTAAGAGAAATTGAAGCTCATATTAATTTAATTGGAAAAATTCTGCCGTTCTCTCATGAAAAATTTGAAGAATTTAAATGCGAAACCAAAAATGATAAATATTTATTTGAATTAATGAAATTAGTCAAGGAAGGGTGGCCAAATGAAAAAAATTAATTATCAGATGAGCTACAAAAATATTGGGAATATAGAGATGAAATAATAAGTTTAAATGATGTTTTGTTTAAAGGTAACAAAATTATAGTTCCGAATAATTTGACGAACGAAATGCTTGGAATAATTCACTACAATCATCTTGGAATTACTAAATGTCAGCTGAGAGCTCGTGAATGTTTATTTTGGTCAAACATAGACAAAGAATTTGAAAATTTTATCAAAAACTGTGAGACTTGACTTGCCTGAATTTTAGAAACTCTAATTCACGGGAACCCCTAAGAAAGATCCTTACCTTTGTCTTCTGGAATACCGAAACACACGCATCGCCCATGACATTCCATCGCCAGCTACTCTGTTGTTTAATAGGAAAGGCCTTTTGCCCGAATTTAATATTTTTTGCAGAAAAGATAATTCTTATGTTAATAAGTTTAAAATTAGACAAAATAAACAAAATTTGAATTTTGATTTACATGCAAAAAATTTACCAGAACTTAGCGATGGTGAAGGGGTAAGAGTGCAAAGATTGGATAAATCCGAGTGGACACCCGGTAAAGTTATAAGAAGATTGGAAAAACCGAGGACTTATTTAGTGGGACTTGATAATGGTGGTGTACTGGAAAGAAACAGAAAATACCTTATTAAAGATTGTGTAAACAGAGAAGTCCCTGAACTAAAAAGTAAACGAAAGACTCTTGAAAATAATAGACCGAAACGTGACGTACGTCAGCCACATAAATTGTCTGATTACGTAACTTAACTTATAAGTTATGATTTGTAAATAATATTTTACTTAGATTTTAGATTTTGTGAAGTAGCTTAAGTTTAGCTTGAAGAAAGAGATGTAGTATGATTGATAACTCAGTCAGAGAGTTGTCAACATTTTAGTCAAATAAATGTAAGTTGTATTGAACAACTTAATATAATAAAAGTGTTTGAAAAAAATGTTAAATATAAAACAATCTGCAAAACAATAACTTTGTCGTCTCTGGCCGTGATTGACCGTTTTCTACTTTGGCCTCGTCTTCTCACATACTCTCCCGTTTGCCTCCAACGTCTTACATTACGATAGATCGTCTAGCCTATTCTCTACGAACAGCAACTATATAGCAACCAGCAACCGGTCGCAAGTTGCTATTTTTGAATAGAAAACTCGCGTTTGACAGCGACTTGACAACGACAATTGCGCAATTATCTGCTGTCGCAAGTTACAGAATGAGGCTGCGTGGATTTTGATTTTCCTAATATGCCAGCAATATCAGTGTAACATCTACTATTTTCAATCAACCCTCCAGCCCTCGCCACATCAGTAGGAGTCATATCACCCATGTTGGATCTTTATGAATTGAAATTGAATAAGAATGTTGACTTTCGCTTGACTTTGACTTGACAATAACCAACGACAGAAGACACAAAACGAAACAGTTTCATATCCAATTCGTATGTCGACGTGGAGAAAATTACGGTCAATATCCACCTGTTCTCCGAAACTCTGTATTTTCAATAATATTGAAAATATCAGAGTGAATAAAAGATGAAAATGTTCGGAAAAGATCAGGCTACAATTTGGTGTTGAAAACTGTTCTGAATTTCCAGTGGTTTACTCCACAGGGTGTCTCAAAAAACTCTGATAGTTACTGACTTTCGTTCTATCCCTGTATATGATATAAAGACGAATCATTTAATAACAGTAATACGTCAGATGTATTCCTGAAGAATCAAGCTATAATCTGTGAAAAATTCATGGAAATCGAGCGGAGGGTTCAAGAGAAAATTGATATAGTGTATAGTTTTATCCGTTCCCCTAATTTTTCCGGTGTGTGTGTATATTATCTATCCATTCGAAAACTCTTCAGTTATTTTTGACAATATATGCAATTATTTCTTATAATTTTCATAAGAACTATTCTATCTTAGGAAATATTAAATATTCCTATGATTCATATTTAATGAATCAAAAATTAGTTATGATTTTACTCCTTATCGCATAATTGGCAAATTAAAAACAATAGCCAAATTGCAATTCGAAATGAGATTTATTGAATCATTTGAAAATTCTTCGACTATGAAAACACAGAGCCGAATTCATGAAATCGAATGGAAAATCTATTTTGCTACTGACAAATGTCGAAGTTGCATTTATTTCAATGTAGACTTGCGTTTCCCTAATCTTGAAAACCGACCAGAGCGATAAATTTTATGTCGATTGGATTTAACAATAATTACGCCCGATAAGACGGTCCAGCGGTAGCTAATAAAAGTCGCAGGTGAATTTAGTTATTCATTTAGTGCAAAATATTTCCTCAAACAAGGTGCTTCAACGAAGTTCATAATGGCATCAGGAATTTCGACTGTTCAAAATGGTAAGTCGATCACTTATCTTGTTATTTATTTAAAAAGGCATTGTTTTTTAATTTATTTAAATTTTAATTTTTGAACGGGGTGTTTTTGAATCACTTTACGTGTGTGTGTACAGGGTCTTTAATTATATTTAAGCCCATACCTACAGCATTTGCTGGCTCTAGGGGCTGCACATAACTTTGATATTTTTAGAGATGAAAATTTGAAAAAAAAAAGCGGATAATGGCAAGTTGAGCTCTTTACAAAAATATGAACAAATCTCCTTGTGACAAAATCATTCCCTAATTACAACCCTTGACTTTTTTTTTCAAATGGCATTTAATTTTTTTTTTTTCAAATTAATTGTATTAAATTAAACCCTTCAAAAATATAAAAGAAATCTTCCCTAACAAACAACTCTGGGCTTTTTTTTTTCGAATAGAACCTCATTATTTTTATTTTTATTTTTGAAATACACCTATATGAAATTACAAATGCATATTAGGTTTTTGTTTGCTACCAAGAATGTATTTCAACATTTTTAGGGCAAAAAGGGTTGCTTGAATGAAAATATTTGACTGTATAGAAAGTTTTCAGAAATATCTCAATCTCTCTTTTAAACAATTTTTTTTTTATTGGGGCTTTTATTTCTCAGTAAAAATACTCTAATCTAATAATTGTGAGACTTGAACCTTTAGTTTTAAAGAAAAAACTTTTTTTTCCAACGAAACAAGGAAAAAGAAACTTTTTACACACCATTGAATTTGTAATTTCATGAGCTTCTCAAAAATAAAAATAAAAAATAGGGGTGCCAATTGGAAAAAAATATTCAAGGGTTGTATTTAGGGAATGATTTTGTCACGGGAAGATTTTTTTACATTTTTGAAAAGAGCCTTACTTGCCAGTATACGTTTATTTTTTTTTTTTATTTTCATTTCTACAAATAAGAAAGATATAGCCTGTAACGCTGATTGTATTTACATATACATAATACATATTTGGAACCAGGAAACAAATATCTTTCATTTTATCGCATAATATACAGGGTGCTCCATTAAAAAAAGTTGGAATTGTCTACGTTTTTCCATTTTTCGATGCGATTTTATTTTTTCTCCTGGAAAAACTTCCAAGTTTTGTAATTATTTTTTTAAATTTTTATCTTAAATAGTAAAGCCTGTAAGTATATGCTTAAATATAATGAAAGACCCTGTACCCTGTACCTTTTTCCTGTTTTTTCTAAGTGAAGTTTTAATAGTAATCTGCACTTTGCGTCCTTTGTGAATTTTTAAATTTTGGCTAGACTCACAAGGCTCAGTGATTAAAAAATTGGAAAAGATATGAAGATGGATTGATCAAGAAACACCCTGTAAAATGTTTGCGTGTGTTTTATCCATGTATGTCTGTTATATTTTCCTAGATTATTTTTTTTTTATTTCTATTTTGAGAAAAATATTATTTCTTGCAGTGATGGCTGATGCCAGTGCTACAAGAGGTCCCGAGGGCTTGGAACAAGTGGTCCTGAACGTCCCGGGAAACCGTCGAGGTCGTAACCAAGCTGAACCAAGACTTGACCCATGGTATTACGCGGTTTTCTTCAAATTACTGTGGATTGTTGCCTGCCTCTTCGCCACGTCCGTAATTGTTGGTACAGTCGTATATTTTATGCATGTACTACACCAGGCTTCCTTGAGGCCGCGCCCAAAGGAGATTATTGTAGATTGAAAAATATTGTACTCTTTTGAAAGGAAACAAAATAATGACTAGACTAACACAAGTCGTGGAAGTCTAGAAACCTTTTGTTTCCTTTCAAAAATTAATTTTTATAATTTGGAAGCACTCAATTTTTTAGCTTTATTATTCTGCAACACATGGCATCAAATTTAACAACTTGGTGAAACTTGGACCTCGGTGTAATAATGCTAAAAAAATAATTATACAAATTTTTCAGATTTTTTTTTTAAATTAAAATGGGTATGTTTTTTTTTATATATATACATATATAATTTTGGGGATTTTTTTTTATGTTTTTTTTGGTAGCGGTCTTATATATCTACATATATATTTATCAACAATTAATAATCAATAAAGATACATAAACATACACACACATAATATATAGGTATATTACTTTAACTTAGCAAAGAGTCAATATTTTTATAAATATATTTTTGACATTTCTTTTCACAATAATATTGATTTATTACTTTTCAAATATTTTCCGATAATTTATTGAAGAATTATGCTGGCAAATAATTGATACATTTTTGATTAAAATTGTTATTACTTAAATTCGAACCGGTTTATTCATCTTCAGATAAACTTGCTGGTAAATATCTCAAAGATCAATTTACCGTTCTATAATTGTATTGGTCGGCGGATAACTGGCCAACCAATAGGATTACAAATTGCGTTTTCATCTGTCAGATTGCATGCCTGACAGTTTATCAGAAGGTGAATAAACTGGCCCTAAAAGAAACATCTATTAGGCAGTTAGTTTGACTTTTTGATTATAACTCCTTGTCATATTAAATGTAGTAATTTTGTATTTAAAATTTGTCCGAATATAAAAAAATTATACCTATTATTATTGTATAAATTATATATATATTAAATAGGTTTAATGTATTGTTTTATATTTTATATTTAGTATTATATCTAGTATCTTGTATATGTATAGTATAAAGCTATCATATTGTATTTAATAAACTAAGAGGTTTGAGCATAGTTATTATTGAACTATTTGTTTACAATATGTCTATTATTTTCAAGCCCATATTGATGTTATTTTAGTGGAATATATCTATTGTTTCAAAGCACAGTAAATAGATTTTTATTTGCATCCAAGTGTTTCTCATATTTTCTACTAGTCATGTAGATACCTAATTAGTTATACAGGGTGTCCTAAGATAAACTGAAACCCTTTGCAGGTAAATATCTTGAAAGCATTGAAAGCGAGAAAAAATAACGAGATGTGAATTGTTCTGGGAGAATAAGAATTTTTTTAAGTTTTTTTTTCACAGTATTGTCGAATCCTCAAATTTGCTGAAAGAAGGAGGGAACAATTAACATTGAAAATAGGCCCCCGTAAATTTCAACTAAATTTCAATATTTTAAAGTTATCATCATTGCAAACACAAATTTGAAATTGAAAAAGAGGATTGTATGTCTGTGATTGCAGATATAGCTCATCAAACTACGTAGATCCTGCTATGCTATGCATAGGGAATATCCGAGGAAATATCCCTACGTAGATTTTCTTGAATATCTCGAAAAATACTGATCCGATTTTGACGTTTTTGGGGTCCTTTTGTAGGTATCAAACTCCAAAAAGGTCAAAATCGGATCGGTATTTTTCGAGATATTCAAGAAAATCTACGTAGGGATATTTCCTCGGATATTTCCTATGCATAGCATAGCAGAACCTACGTACTTTGATGATCTATATCTGCTATCACAGACATACGATCCTCTTTACATTTCAAAATTTGTTTTTGCAATGATAATACCTTTAAAATATTGAATTTTGGTTGAAATTTACGGGGGCCTATTTTCAATGTTAATTGTGCCTCCTTCTTTGATTTTACAGACATGCGATACTTTGAAGTACTGCATTATCTTTAATGAAACACCCTGTATATTTTGTCATCGTCAGAAAGCCTGATTTTTCTACTTTAAAAAAATTTATATATTTTTTTTAATTATCTTGAAATCACATCGTAAAAAATGTACTTTGTTAAAGAGAAATCATCCACTGGTCAAAAAATACTTCAAGCAATTAGAGGGATTTCAAACTTCCAGTATTTATTGGGTATATATAGGGTCTTTTTATCGAGCAGAACAAACCGCGAGTGGATCTCAAGCTCAGAAATGGAATTATGAATTTTTTCTCACTTAAATGCAAAAATTTCTATTTAATCATCTTTGGAAGCCTATGAAAAATAATTCAAGCAATCAGAGGGACTTCAAATTTCCTGGATTATTGAGTAGGATCTCTTTATCAACTGGAACAAACCGCGAGTGGATCTCAGGCTCAGAAATGCAATTATAATTTTTTTCTCATTTAGATGCAAAAAAAAAACATGTAATTTTTTTAATCAAATCACCTTTGGAAGCTTCTGGAAAATACTCCAAGCAATCAGAGGGACTTCAAATTTTCGGGATTTGTGGAGTAGGGTCCTTTTATCGAGCAGAACAAACTGCGAGTACATCTCAGGCTCAGGAATCGAATTCTGAATTTTTTCTCAATTAGATGCAAGAAGATCATACAAAATTTCTATTAAATTAAATTTGGAAGCTTCTGAAAAATACTTCAACCAATCAGAAGGACTTCAAACGTCCAGGATTTATTGAGTAGGGTATTTTCATCGAAAAAAACACACCGCAAGTGGATCTTATGCTCAGAAATGGAATTATGAATTTTTCTAACTTAGTTGCAAAAATATACAAAAATTCTATTTAATCTACTTTGGAAGCTTCTCAAAAATAATTCAACTAATCAGAGGGACTTGAAACTTTCAGGATTTATTGGGTAGATTCTTTTTATCTAACAAAACCAACTGCGAGTAGATCTCAGGCTCAAAAATGGAAATATGAATTTTTTCTCACTTAGATGGAAAAATATCATACAAAATTTCTATTAAATCAACTTTGAAAGCTTCTGAAAAATACTCCGAGCAATCAGAGGGACTTCAAACTTCAGGAATTTATTGAGTAGGCTCTTTTTTCAAAACAGAACAAACCGCGACTGAATCTCAGGCCCAGAAATGGTGTTATGAATTTTTTTCTCACTTAGATGCAAAAAAATCATGTAAAATTTCTATTAGATCACCTTTAAAAGATTCTGAAAAATACTTCAAGCAATCAAAGGGACTTCAAATTTTCAGGATTCATTAAGTGGGGTCTTTTTTGAAACAAAACAAACCGCGAATGAATCTCTGGCTCAGGAATGGAATTATGAATTTTTTCTCACTTAGATGCAAAAATATCATACAAAATTTCTATTAGATCACCTTTGAAAGCTTCTTAAAAATACTTCAAGCAATCAGAGAGACTTCAAACTTTCGGAATTTATTGAGTGGGATCTTTTGTTTGAAACAGAACTAACCGCGAGTGGATCTCAGGCTCAGAAATGGAATTATGATTTTTTTCTCATTATGATCTTAAGATGCACATGTAAAAATTTCTATTATGTCATACCAATACATTATTGTGTTTTTATACCTTAGATAACATCTACATAATTCATTACTTTATGCCCGTGCGGGCATAAAGTACACATTATGGCCCGCGCGGGCATGAAGACGCAAAAAAAGGTTTTCGATTAACTTATTCTTTATTAACAAAATATAAATTTACGCTTATAAACATATTATTTTTTCTACGACTGTCAAAAAATGATGATGTTCGCATACTGATGACAAGTGACAGTTTTTTCCCAGGTATGATTTTTTTAACTTTCCCATGACGCCGTGCGCGAAATGCTACTTTATATATATATGCCACTTGTATATATACTTTATATAAATATGTATTCTTCTTTGGAAGGCTTCCTATATATATATTTATTATTCACAACCAACTGTATGCAACACGGGTACTAATAGATATACCCTCGGGCGACTTACGAACCCTCGGGCCAGAGGCCCTCGGCTTTGTAAGGCTGTCGCCCTCAGGGCATAATCATCTACTTAGTACCCTTGATACATAAATAACTATTAAATCACCTTTGAAAGCTTCTGAAAAATACTACAAGCAATCAGAAGGACTTCAAAGCTAAGCTAAAAACTCAACAAGGATATGCCGCCCTGAGATCTAGATCAAATAAAATGTCAATAATTTAAATTCGAGATTGATTTTGTATACCTGGACTGAAGAGCTGTAAATTACTAATTGATTTTCTTTGGCTAAGAAGATGAGAAGAGCCTCTCACAGTTATTTTTATTACTGGTGTGAAGTTGGCAGTGAAAAGTTAGCAGTAGATTTTTCGAAGATTGTCTTGCAAAATACCAATACTCAATTATGGCTCAGTAGACCTGGCCCCCCCCAGTTGATAATTTTTATCCAAAACGCTAGCCCTCGTTCTCCAGAGCTAGCGCAACCTAGCGCAACTTTTTCGAAAGCTAGCGCAGCTACAGGTCAAAAGATATGTGGCTTTATATTCGGGGGGGGGGGGGGGCTAGGGTGACGCTAGCCCCCCCCCCACCAGTTATTCGATCTTCTCAAAAATGCTGGCGCACATTCGTAACACCTAGCGCAAGTTGTGTCATAGCTAGCGCAGCTATCGTAGCTGTCATACAGAGTGGACAAAAAAAATCATGAGCCCCTACAAGTGTTTTTTAATTTTTCAAAAATATATATAAAGCTTCCTTAAAGCTGGCGCAGGCTAGCGCAGGTAAAATTCGAGCAACCGCATTACCCCTTTAAAACATACACACATACAGGTATTTATTTGGGAGGCGGCTAGAGTGCCGCTAGCCCCCCCCCTCCCCCAGTTGTTAAATCCTTTCCAAAATGCTAGCGGAAGTTCTTGACACTTAGCGTAAGTTGTGTTGTAGCTAGCGCAGTTATAGTAAGTAAATGTTATACAGGGTGAACTATGAAATCTTACAAAATGTCGCCAGCTCCAAGACCAGATTTAACGTTTACAAGCGCTATCTATTCGCGAAGTAGGTAACTAAAACTTAACCTCACAAAGAAATTAAAAAATTGAGGTAGGTATCTTTTTCAACCTTGATGCGCGCGCAACTAGTGGGTTGTACAGTGACTGTATTACCACAGTGGTGACAATAATTGCAGTCTTATTTATGATTGGTTTTTTAAAATCCTATAACATGTTCATATTAATGAACTGTGTTCACTTTGTGGCGTAACTCTTGCTAATTTTAAATATGAATATATACGATTTATGGACATCGATCATAACAAATTGAGAACAACGTATTTGATATACCTAATAATGCTCATCAAATACATTGCTTTCAATTTTGTATGATAAATGTCCATTTAAATCCTATATATTCGTATTTAAAATTAGCAAGAGGAAAGCCACAAAGTGGCGGCGGGACCTCTATTGTCGCCACTGTGTTAGGTTTATTGTCACTGTAGTGAGTTTAGGGATGGCAACGACATATCGATATTTAGTTCGTCGATATATCGATACTGAATATTGTCGACATTTTTAGTGGTGGTGGCGGTGGGGTTTGTCAGGTTTGTGAAGCAAGAGCTAGTACTTTTTTTTATCACCAATTAAGAATTACGTTGGTTGAATGCATTTAGTGATCCCAGGCCGTGGCATGTATGTGTTTCTCATATTAGGTTTGAATTTCACTGTTTTCTGTTTTCTGATTTGTTCTGATTCCGGCCTGACTATAAAGGAAAAAGTATAACTTCGCGAATAGATAGCGCTTGTAAACGTTAAATCTTGTCTTGGAGCTGGCGACATTTTATAAGATTTCATAGTTTCACCCTGTATAACATTTACTTACTATAGCTGCGCTAGCTACGACACAACTTATGCTAAGTGTCAAGAACTTCCGCTAGCATTTTGAAAAGGATTTAACAACTGGGG